CTTCCTATCCCCAATGGGTTGCTAACATTGTGCCCGTGCCTAAAAAGGACGGCAAAGTGAGAATGTGCGTGGATTACAGAGACTTAAACAGGGCTAGCCCTAAAGATGACTTTCCACTACCGCACATTGACATCTTGGTTGACAACACAGCTCAACATAAGGTATTTTCTTTCATGGATGGATATTCAGGGTACAACCAGATCAAAATGGCCCCCGAAGACATGGAGAAGACTACTTTTGTTACGCAGTGGGGTACCTTCTGCTATAAAGTGATGCCATTCGGACTGAAGAATGCTGGGGCAACCTATCAGCGAGCCATGGTAGCTTTGTTTCATGACATGATACATCATGAGATTGAAGTCTACATAGACGACATGATAGCCCGTTTACAGATAGAAGAAGAACACCTCGACCATCTGCAAAAGCTGTTTATCAGGTTGAAGGAGTACAAGCTCAGACTGAACCCTAGCAAGTGCACTTTCAGAGTCAGGTCCGGTAAACTCTTGGGATTCATCGTTAGCAACAAAGGCATCGAGGTCGATCCTGCCAAAGTCAAAGCCATACAAGAAATGCCTGCCCCCCGCACTGAAAAGGAGGTCAGAGGTTTCTTAGGACGCCTAAACTACATTGCAAGGTTCATTTCTCACCTAACTTCTACCTGTGAACCAATCTTCAAGTTGTTGAAGAAAGATCAGGTGGTTGAATGGAATGATGACTGTCAAGTCGCTTTCGATAAAATCAAGGAGCATTTTCTAGAACCTCTTATCTTGATGCCACCTGTCGAAGGAAGGCCGCTAATCATGTATCTTACTGTTTTGGATAATTCAATGGGGTGCGTATTGGGCCAACATGACGAGTCTGGCCAAAAAGAGCATGCCATTTATTACCTTAACAAAAAGTTTACCGACTGTGAGACTCGCTACTCACTGCTCGAGAAAACTTGTTGCGCTTTGGTATGGGCTGCTCGCCGGCTAAGGCAGTATATGTTGAAACATACCACTCTGCTGATTTCTAAAATGGATCTGATCAAGTACATCTTCGAAAATCCTGCTTTATCTAGAAGAATCTCTAGATGGAAAATGATCCTGACTGAGTATGATATCCAATACACAACCCAAAAAGCTATAAAGGGGAGTGTACTAGCCGACCATCTAGCTCATCAAGCTGTCGAAGATTACCAATCCATGAAGTTCGACTTCCCCGACGAAGACATTATGACATTGGACAACATTGAAGGTAACTGACCGTATGACGGACCTGAACAAGGATCCCGATGGACCTTGTACTTTGATGGTGCTTCAAATGCACTTGGAAACTGTATCGGCGTGGTACTTATCTCTCCAGAAGGTTTCCACACACCTTTCACTGTTAGACTCTGCTTCAGCTGCACCAACAATATGGCCGAGTATGAAGCTTGTATCTTTGGTCTCAAGGCTGCTATTGACTTGGGAATCAAATCTTTGGTTGTGTTTGGAGACTCAGCTTTGGTCATCAGTCAGATCAAAGGAGAGTGGGATACTAAACATCCTAATCTCGTCCCTTACAAAGAACATATCTTGACATTGTTACCTCATTTCGAGCAGATTACCTTCGAGCACTTCCCGCAAGAAGAAAATCAGCTAGCGGATGCTCTAGCCACAATGTCTTCCATGTTTAAACTTAACTGGGATAATGAGGCTCCCCAAATTACCATTGAGCGGATGGACGAACCTGCACATTGTCACGAGATTAATACCAAAGAAGTAGTGGACCGACCCTGGTTTCACGAAGTCAAAAGGTATCTTGAGACTCGAGAATGCCCTGAAGGAGCTTCAGTCAACGATAAAAAGTTCCTAAGGAGATTTTCTGCCAAGTTCTTCCTGAGCAATGGTATCCTATACAAGCGCAACCATGATTGCGTTCTGCTTCGTTATATGGACAAGGTTGAAGCTGAGCAGATCATGACTGAACTACATAATGGTACTTTTGGCACCCACTTGAGTGGACATATGATGGCTAAGAAGATTCTACGGGCAGGCTACTACTGGTCTACCATGTAAGCTGACTATCATCAATATTCCCATACTTGTCACAAATGCCAAATATATGCGGATAAGGTACATATTCCTCCAGTTCCTCTCAATGTCCTAACAGCTCCTTGGTCATTCGCAATGTGGGGTATCGATATGATTGGAGAGATCAAGCCTACAACATCCAATGGACACCGTTTCATCCTAGTGGCCATTGATTACTTTACCAAGTGCGTCGAAGCAGCTTCCTTCGCCTCCGTTACAAAGAATGTGGTTGCCCGCTTCATCAAGCAGAACCTCATATGCCGGTATGGTATCCCCGACCGTATCATCACGGACAACGGTATAAACCTGAACAACACTATGATCACCGCTCTGTGTGAGCAGCTCAAGATTCAACATCACAATTCATCTCCCTTTCGGCCAAAGATGAATGGTGTTGTCGAAGCTGCGAACAAAAACATTAAGAAGATCATTCAAAAGATGACAGTCACCTACAAGGACTGGCATGAGATGTTACTGTTTGCTCTGCACGGATACCGTACCATGGCGCGTACTTCAACTAGGGCAACGCCTTTTTCTTTGGTATACGGAATGGAAGTTGTTTTACCTATGGATGTTTAGATTCCCTCCTTGAGAATAATGAAGGATGCTGGTTTGAGTGAAGAAGATTGGATTCAGACCCGGCTTGATCAACTTAACTTGATTGACGAGAAGTGACTTACTGCTGTTTTCCACAGTCAGACGTATCAAAAATGGATGATCAAGGCTTTCAACAAAAAAGTCAGACGACAAGTATATCAAGTTGGAGATCTAGTAATCAAGCGGATCATCTGGCTGCAAAGTGATCCCAGGGGCAAATGGACTCCTACCTACAAAGGACCATTTATGATCAAAAACATCTTTTCTGGCGGGGCTATGATTCTAACCACCATGGACGGCGATGATCTGCCGCACCCTGCGAACACAGACATAGTCAAAAGATACTACGCATAAACGACCCGACAAGTTGAAAACCCGAAAGGGCAACTTGGGCAAAAATGGGCATCCCGGTGAATCAAAAACCCGAAAGGGCGGTTCAAGCAAAAATTAGGGACAAACAAAAAAAATATGTACACCCGGCAAGTTGAAAACCCGAAAGGGCGACTTGGGCAAAAAAGGGTTTCCCGGTGGATCGAAAACTCGAAAGGGCGATCCAGGCAAAAGTTAGGGAATTAGAGCGTATGACTATGTCTCGTCGGATCACTTAAGGACAATCTCTTCACAGACAAGCTCCAAGCTTCCGATCAATCCAATCATCTGCGAACGAAGCAACGAATGGACAAGATACTCAGAGTTATGAAGGCTATAGCAGAATGGGAACCCCATGGAATTGTTACACATAGCCATCTTTCTTTGTATAAATTTTTTCTCAATTTTATGACAACATTCTCTTACTAGGATGTCTGTCTCCTTTGTACAAAATACTTACACAAAGTTAATACAAAGATACTTCAAAGTGCAGAAAATTGTTTGCCTTTTCTTTCTTTTTACACTTGTGTTTTATTTGAAAACGTCCAATGATTTATCAAATGAGCATATGCATTTGAATATAATCACTACTTACAAATAAAATGAAATGAGAAAGAATAATTGCTGATAGGATGAAAGTATAGGAAAATGTCTTTAGGCTATTCCAGGAGAAATCCCCTGCAATACATCATCCAGATCCTCGGCAGAACTAAAACCTTGAAGTACATATCCCCAGCGGAGTTAAGTTTCAAAATCTCCATCAGAGTTGAGTTTTCAAAATCCCAATCCCCAGCGGAGCAAAACTTTGAACTACAAACCGTCAGTGAAAATGAAACTTTCTTTCCCAAATGGAGTCAAACCTTCAACCTTTGAACACCAGTGGAGACCATCTAGTTTCCTCCATTGTCCCCGGAGAGTAGCTTTAAAACCAGATAATTCCCCAGAGAGTTATTTTTTTAAACCTTCTTCCTCAGTGGAGTCAAATTTCCATACACCATCAACACTACACCGAAAAAGACTTACAAAAGCGTTTTTTTTGCCTTTAAAAGTGCTTAAAAGCGCTTTCGTAGGTGGCGCTGCTATAGGTTTTAGCAGCGCTTTTTGTTTAATGAAAATCTCTTTCGTAGGTCTACCTAATACAACACTTTTTCTAAAAAGCGCTCTCTTAAGTAGGCTTATGGCAGCACTTTTTTATGAAGAAGCGCTTTCATAGGTCTACCTAAGACAGCGCTTTTTTTTGGAAAAGCGCTCTCATAAGTTTTCTTTTAGCAACTCTTTTTTCTGGAAAAGCGTTGTCTTAGGTAGGCTTTTAGCAACGCTTTTTTATAGAAAAGCGCTTTCTTTTATAGGATCGATAGCAACCAACAACCAGTGACGTCTATAAATTAAAACAACAGTTTAGAAGAAAATTTTCTACGCAAAAATTACAAATATTAAAATGAACTTAGAATGAAAATATAACCCTGTAGGAATAGTATTATACGCCCAAAGATATAAGCTTTCTGTACTTCTAGTTGCCATGAATCTTTCGACTAAGTGCTCTCTTACTGAATCTGGTTCCCTACCAATTGTCGCTCCGCTGACACAGGAGGAAGACACGAAATGGAATCTGTTTGACAATTGATTCTCGCGCATCAATTTTTCATATAACAACCTTAAATAAAAACATAATTAATATTAGACTATATTCATTGAAATGTTTAAAAAAAATTCAGCTAATTACATAATATAAAGATGGGGTTACCAGATGTATGCGTGCATAATACTGACGCCTAATTCTTTATGACAGCAAATATCTTCCACGTCCTCATGTCCAATTATTTCGGTGCAAGGAAAACCAAAGATACCTTGATCCATATCCATTTGACGAATACCACCATCCATCAAATCTGTTGTTCCCACTATTGTTTCAAGACACTGCCGGTATCGAGGGAAAAATCTAGTAGGAACCCTTTTCTTGGGTGGTACGCCAATGATTTTCTAGCTCACATGTTGTGACCCTTGAAAAGGTACCTAAAAATCATATAGACTCAGTTAAATTATAAAATTATGCAGTTTTTTATTCGGATCATATAATTAACACTTTAAACGTACCTCTTTTTGTGATACATCAGACTCGTCGTGCCGCAAAATCCATTTACCCTTAGATGCGGGTTTTGTAGGAGTCTATAATTATCGTGGAAATAACTGAGGTCGGAACTGACAGTTGAAGACTTAAAGATTCATAATGGTTTTCAACATACCTGAATCTATGAAAATGAGGTCCGATGGCCATGCAATAAAAGATCCTATTGCATCTCGCAGCAATGTGGTCTCAGCAACAATGTCAGGTACCGGCACTTGATACCAGTGACTGCAAACATTGATAGCATTGAAGCGTAATATTTTTTGTTGGTGAGATATTAGACCAGAAAATCTGGTTCGACGGTTCAGTTTCATAGATTTTGAATACAAATAATGCATGGTAGCAAACTGATTTACCTGAATAAGATGTATGCGTAGTTTTCCTATTTTGCTCCATTTCAAGTATGCAGAAAAATTTTGTAATGTAATCCTACCAGCAGTGTTGTTTCCTAAAATTTCCACAGAACATGAAGCACTAATATCCTGCAGCGTAAGCGAGAAAAATGGATCACAAACTGAGATACATGCTTATTAGTTTTAACTCAAAGATTTCAGCAAGCTTACCACTGAGATACATGCAACGGGTATGGTCTCGCCGCCTTCTAGAACATTAATTGTTATATCCACGGAAACAGTAGCACCAATATCTTGGTAACCCACTTGTATGACTGGTGGAAAAGATGTAGAGACATTAATCTGCATGTTTTCATTTGGATATCGCTTGTATAATTGAGGAACTATGAATCTCTATCCAGCGGTGTTCAGAAGAGCCTGATCGGGTTGTTCATCGATAATCAATTGCATTTTACCTGCCTGAGCCCAAAAAAAAACACAAAATATATAAAATGATCCAACATAAGCGCCTGAATCCAATTTATCTATATAGAAACTTACGTTGAAGTAAACTAGGGAAGCAGATTTGAACATGTTTTCGTGTATTGAAACCTTTATCATCTTTGGTAAGCCACCACAGGCAGAAGAAACTTGATATCATTTCTTGTAACTTTGAGGAAGTAAGATTTGGCTTGTTCTTGTGAATAAACCATTAATTGCAACTGCAACAGAAGAATTACTCAACACAGGATTACCAACAAAAGAAACATTTAGCGCAACAGTTTCATCAAGGGAAATTTGCTTTGGAAGAGCTTGCAAAAAATTATCAAGCTTTGTTATTCCTTCTTTTATTTTCCCTGAAATTCCTTCTTCTACTGAAGATGATATATTCTCTTCAAAGGCATCAACTAGCCTGAAACAAGCATAAAGTAGCGAATAAATTTGAAACATAGATTTTGTATTACAGTTCTCTATGAAAGAACGCGCGAAGAATATCACTTATCAAAACATGGCTTACGAAATTTGCTTACAATTGGTAAAGCCAAGCTGCTCCACCATCCAACTTTATCGATAAATCTCCGACATAGCATCCATGATCTAAGAGACTCAACTTAAGGCGACCTTCTTTGTTCTTTAAACTTAATGTAAGCCCGACTTGCATTCCTTTAACCTTCCAAACACGGCACAGCAAAAATAAATGGAGATATTATCCATTATGTGTGACACCCTCCATTATTTCTCTCTTAGCATGTTACTCTCCATTATTTCTCTCTTAGCATGTTACTTCTATGCACAACTTCTTAATAACTTCTATGACAGTAGAAACCATGCTTGCTCAAAATTATTAACCAAACAAAAGCACACGAAAACCAAACAAACACATACGAGATGAGGAAAAAAATGAAACCTGATACGAATTGCAGTTGACCGGAGAAGTGGAGCACCGTTGACCACCGTAGAAGCTCTGGTTTAGGGTTTTTTCGTGAAGAAAATCTGACTGAGAATAGAAAAGTGATACGAATTGTGTTTTGATATTTATTATAAAACTACCTACGAAAGCGCTTTCTAAAGGTCATCTATAACAGCGCTTTTACATCAAAAAGCACTTTCGTAGCATATCCTATAGCAGCGCTTTCTAAAGGCCAGCTTTAGCAGCGCTTTGGAAAAGCGCTTTCTAAGGCTGACCATTAGCAGCGCTTTTGAAAAGCGCTTTCTTAAGGTACCCTCTGAAAGGCCATCTTTAGCAGCGCTTCCCAAAAAGCGCTTTCTAAGGATGACCTTTAGAAGCGCTTTTGAAAAGCGCTTTCTTAAGGCACCCTTTGAAAGCGCTTTTCTAAGCGAATTTTTTTTTAAAACCTACAACAACGCTTTTTTCCAAAAGCGCTTTCTTTTATGTACCGCTAAAACTTATTTTTGGCGTAGTGCAAATCAGCACGTCATTAAGATCCTCATCGGAGGTGGAACTTTAAGATACCAATCCCCAGCAGAAACCATTCTGTTTTCCCCCGATATCCCCAACGGAACGGAGATTCTCATTCTTGAAGTCCCCAGTAGATTGGCATACAACCCAAACTCCTGATCTCCCCAGCAATATAGCTTCTCCCCACAGAGGTTGTCAAAGATTCTGAATCTCCAACAGTGGTCAAGGATTTATTTTCCCTGACAGCAGTCAAAGATTTTATTATCTCTAGCTATCCAAGATTTATTTTCCTCAGCAAAACAGCTAATCAGCTTATATACACATACATTACATTCATAAATCATGAACATTGATAAAACGCATCTTATTGCATCATACATTTCATGCAAGATAATTTTGTGTTTCAGCTAACATTCTACCCTTTTCAGGAAGAAATTAATAGCTACCTAAAAACAGATATTCAAAGCTCAGAAAACGGCTTAAAGATGCTCCAGACACGAATGCTTTTCTATTTGTATTTTCAAATCAAGGGGCAGATTCCTGTTCCAGTTATAAAGCCTCGATCCAACTAGATTTTATCTTGATTGTACTGAAACCCGGAGATCGACCGGAAAGTAGTTGAATCCCCTGCAAATCCTTCTGAAACCTAGACATTAACCAGATAGGAAATAAAGTATTGTGAAGCCTGGACGTTGACCAGATAGCAATACAAGACTGTGAAGCCTGGACGTTGACCAGATAACAGTAAGGTATACTATGAAACTTGGACGTTGACCAAATAATAGTTTACTCGGCCAATTACTTTGAAGCCCGGATTTAACCGGATATTAGTAGGCCCCAAAATCAAAGGGAAAACCGGAGGCGACCGGATAACCATTTTGATTTTCTTCTGAAACCTGGACGTTGACCAGATAAGAAGTAAAGTATCGTGAAGCCTGGATGTTGACCAGATAGCAATACAAGACTGTGAAGCCTGGACGTTGACCAGATAACAGTAAGGTATACTGTGAAACTTGGACGTTGACCAAATAACAGTTTACTCGGCCAATTACTTTGAAGCCCGGATTCAACCAGATATTAGTAGGCCCCGAAATCAAAGGAAACCCGGAGGCGACCAGATAACTATTTGATTTCCTTCTGAAGACTGGATGTTGACCAGATAGGAAGTAAAGTATCGTGAAACCTGGATGTTGACCAGATAGAAATACAAGATTGTGAAGCCTGGATGTTGACCAGATAGCAGTTCAATGTCACCTCTTCAACCAAGAGATGGCTCCCCAGTGGAATAACAGACGACTGAAGTTCTATTTCTACCACGACAGAGACCAGCATTCTCCGGCGTAGTCCTCCTCAACAACAGGTGTACGGGCCCTCGCAAAGGAATCTCTTATGCGATCAATTTTCTTGGATGGAATCTTTAAGCCCATCTCCGACAAGATTCTGTCACATCTTCCAAATGGCATCTTTAAGCCCATTCCCTCAACTATACTCTGACGAGCGCAAATTTACGGGCACTCTAGTGTCCAATCCTCTTTTACCTTCGAGTCACGAAAGGCAAACTCGCCAATCTAACTCTTCAGGTTCAAGAAGATTGAACATGGGCATCTGTTGTACCCCAAAATTTTCCCTCTCATTTTATCAAGATTTATCATCACAAGACTCTTTGAACTCAAGACCAAGCTAGGGTTTGCTCTGCTCAAGACATCTCCTTGCATTGTTGACCTAAATTAGGGTTTGAATTTGAACAAGGATTTTTGGACTTCTAATGCTCAATGTGACTTTCATGCTTCATGATTGGACTTATAAGATTGCTCATACCAAGTTTCAAGTCTTGAATCAAACTTTTGCCCAATCAATTGGACAGTTGACCTAAAAATCAATTGTATGGGGGGAAAAGTCAATTGTGGCCAATTTACAGTCAAACCTCATAATTTTTGATCCACATCAACATTATAAACTCATATGAACCATTTGATCAAGTTTGGACCACAACTCCTTAAGAAATTTGATTAGATCATCAAAAGGGCAAAATGGTCATTTTTAGGGTTTTGGTTGTATAAGGGCAATTTCTGATTTTTCACCTAGCCAGTGGCAAATTGGGTTCAAGAATGGATTCAAGGACTCAATGGAATCATCTTGACCTATTCACAAGGTTCAAAAGATCTCAATTGCATTGGATTGACAGATGAATTTTCCAGTTAACTGATCAAAAATCAATTGTACACTGAAAAGTCAAACTTTGACTTTTTGGTCAAAATCAAGTGCCAAGGGTCATTTTTCATCAAGATATGTCAAAACATGAAACTTGTTCATCAAGAAACCTAATTTTGCAAATTAGGGTTTAAGATTGAAAATTTTCATAACTTAGAATTTTTCTAAGTTATGAAATTTTCTTAATTTTTCCCAACTTTGCTCAACATTTTCACCATGATGAAATTGGATTCAAATAAAACTTACAACATGAAAGTTGTATTCTTCCACAAAATATACAACTTTTATTCACAAAGTTTTCTCAAAAGAAGCTTGGATCTCAAGTTATGATTTTTGGAACAAGGGTCCATAAAACTTTTAACTTAGTGAAATTTTGCCCTAGTTTAGGCAGGATTTTGACCTATCTTCATGACCATTTTTCACATAGTTCCACTTGGAATATCAAAATGAATTTCAAAGATGGATTGTAGATAATATTACAAGCTTTCCAAAATGTCCCAGAACTCTCCAAAATCATTTGTGGTTAGGGAGAATCGAAGGTTTGAATTTGGAAAAAACTCACTTTGATCCATGGCATGTTTCATGTTGCTACAAGTTGCAATTTCCATCCAGCATTGTTTGTACTTGATTACAGGTCTCTAAACCCTTCCATACTCAATAATTAAATTCAAATCCAATGGTTTGAAGCTTTGTTCTGATCATTAGAGGATTACACAAGAGATTAATCCAAAAATAGCAAAAAGGCAACATTGCCATTTTTGTCAAACTTGCTTTATGTCAAATTGCATCCCTTGAGCCTTCAACCAAATCTTGGACAGAAAACCAAATCCACAAACTTGGGGCCAAGCTCACACAATGTATGCAGAGTTAGAGCTAGCTTGTACAGGCCTTCTCTTTATCACTTCTCATTTTTTGCTTCATAACCAAGAAACTTGCCAAAGAGCCATAACTTGCATATTTGTTATAACCAAAGTTTGTAAGCATTCAAAACAAGTCTTGCACATTGCCTTGAGCCAGAAACACGAGCCATCCATCCCTCAAACACTCTTGAACATCAAAACACCAAAAACTTGCAAAACAGGGCACTCTCTGCAGTTTCACTTCCATCTCACAAACCACTCGTGCGTTTTGTCCCAAACCAGTTCCAATACACTCCATACAACCTATCTGAACTATCCCAACCATTGGCCATTGACTGTAACTCCATTTGCAAGCTTCACCATTTCTGTTTTCAGCTTGTGCAGGTTGACTTCTACAAGCTTGTTCAAGCAAATCCAAAGCAAACTAAGCATTGGGGAAGATCAGAGGAAGTTCAGGCAAGCTCCCAAGCACCTCAGGTCTCACTGAAAAGCTCCACATTGCCATACACAAGTTCAACTGAAACAGGTATTTTCCAACTTCCTATCTTTCTATTTAGGAATCATTAGGCTTAGGTTTATGAATAAAAAATGCAGTACTCATAGCCCCGAAGATGTACATATGCTTAGATTTCATTTAAGTTAAACGTGTTAAGAGAATTTGATTCATGAACTTCCTGAAAAAGTTAGGTTAGAATTTAGGGCCAGAGAAATTCTCTCTGGTCTTTGAGAGTTAGATTAAGTTCTTTATATGGTTGGAATCGTCTTGAAAAATGCTATAACTTTGGTGTTATGAGTTTTTGCATTAGAGCACGTATGTAGGTTTTCCATATTTTGTACAAGCGAGCATATTTTTGAATCAGAGGTTGAAGATGAAGTGTTGGGATGGGCTTAGCTTTAGCTTGCTTTTGACACCTCCAGTTTTGCTGGCTGCACCCCCTGGCCCATTTCATTATATTTTTATATTTTTCTATTTATTTTTCATTTCTGATTTTGTTTTATTTTTTCTAAACATAAAAAATACCAAAAAACATTTTTATAAATTTTCACATTTTATTTTGTTTTTTTTATTATTTTTTCTAAAATAAAAATAATTATTAAATAACATACCTTTATTTTCTTTTGATAAAAATTTGAAAATAATACATAAAAATATTTTATTTTTATTTTTAT